TTCTTTTTTTGTTTCTTTGCTTTTTTGGACACCGTCGAGTTACAGGAAGCGTGAAAGTATTATAACTTCATCTGCCAACTCCCCACCCGCGGTGAGAGGGTCACGGGTCAGAGATAGTACTGACGAATGGAACTGTCCTATAGTGGCAACACACGGGAATTTCTCTAAGCAATAAAATCCTGTGGACGGCGTAGATTTTCGCCCCCACACCGTCACTGTCAGTCAATGTCTTCTATATCTACCCTGTAGATCCGGATTTGTGTAAAAATCATTAATAAAATCACAAATTCGCTTCTAGGGGAGTATATAGTGGATTTATACACAACGGCGTCGAAGGATCCAACAGAGTGAGGAGATGCCTTCAGCTACGGTTCCTGGCTGGTACAGCTTTTGTTCAGTTAGATTTTTATAAAATTCGTTCGTTTAAAAAAGAGGGGGAAAAAGAAAGGAAGGAAAGGGGAGTTTTGTAATTTTCAAAATGCATTTGGACACATAAATACAGACGTGCATTTAAAACCACTTGTGTCTGTTCGGTGATAAAACTCAACTATTATTTATTCTGATCATCAGAACGCTTTGCTGTCTTCAATCCCAACTCCAGGCTGAATTGGACTTTTTATTTCTTGTTGAAAAATTATGCTGCCTGCTTCACTGTTCATTCGAGAAGGCGTGAGGGGGTGGGGGTGGGGGGGATTTCGAGACGGTCAATTTTCTCGAAACAAAGGACTTTGACATCTACATCATCATTCCCGTGTTTGTGTGCGGGTCTGAGCATGAACCTTTTATCGTATAACACCAGCGAAAGCGGACTGCAACTTCTCCAATCTACCGAACGCAATGTTTGTGTTTTCTTTTACTTTAAATGTGTTTTGCCACGTTTTGATGCTGATGATTATAGAAAAAGCAATTCTGTGCAAAAGGTAGTTATAGAGAATAATCAGATTTATCAGTGGTGGATGCTGGAACGTGCTTCCCTTGTCTGCAAGCAAAAACCTTTGTTTTTCGCTGTTTTGTTAAAGTAAAAAGAAGCGACACAAAGCAGAGATTGAGACTGTGCTACATGACACTGTGTCAGTATCTGACACGAGGAAACAAAACTCTCAACGTCTGTGGCAGCTTGTGTGAGATGGTCAAAGTTGACAAGATGGGTTCCAAAACAAAGAGCGTCGTACCTCTGTTCAGTAACAGCTCAAGGGCAAACGCATGGAGTGCGTGGACTCAATATGCCACGGAAGTTGATATTAGAAAGTGCGTGGAAACAAGTCCTGTTTATTCATGCGATCCCGGTCCAGGCAGAATTACTATGCGAGGCCAGTTAAAAATGTGAAATGTTGAATGGAAGCCTGTAGGAGCAAGTTTTTTTCTCTATTCTTTTTTTTAGGGGGTGGTGGGTCTCGTCTCTAATGCAAAGGTCTGCCGGTGATTTAGGAGGTATGTAACCTGAATTAGTTGATGAATTTTCTATCGATCCCAAACAAGCCAAATTTATCTCTGACACAGTGCTGCTGCTGGGTGGCGGCGCAATAGAAGAGCCGGGCCACTCTCCAATTCTCGTTATTAGCGATTAGCGAAGAGCAGGAAAAAAAGCACATCCAAACACACACATCAACTTTAAATCTCCCCAGCACTTTCTTTCTGTTGCTTTTTCCTCTGTATTTGTCTATTTAAAGTTCCAATCGGACGCGTCAGAAGCAGAGAGGGTTCAGTTGCAATGCGGCGTGGGGCGTGTGTGTGCGTGACTTCGTGTGTGTGTGCGTGTGTGTGTGGGGGGGGGGGGGGTGTACTCTTCATCTGCGCCGTACTCTTTTGCTCGACTTTGGCAAAGCAGAGTGGATTTTTTATAGTCAGTGACGCACTTTGTTAATTTTATAATTCTCTGTCTGCTGAAGTGGAGAGATATAAAGAGGAGACATATGGAGAGAGACGGGAAAAGTATTGAGCGCCCACGAACTGAGGGCATATAATACTGCGCGTGCTGGGGCCGTGTTTATCCTTAATCCTATTTCCTTATCCGGGGTTCCTCCTGGATGTGCGCCATTGGCCGACTGTAGTCACGTGGTGTCTTAACTTTGTTCACTTGACAGAAAAGTAGGAGGGTTCAACGGAACAGGAATAACCGAAGAGTAAAGGGATGAGATATAAATTTTAGTTATATATTTTCCAAGTAGGTGCAGTTCCACAAAAAGACAGAAATTAATGGCCATGAGCTCCTATTTGATCAACTCCAACTATGTGGACCCCAAGTTTCCACCTTGCGAGGAATACTCACAGAGTGACTATTTGCCCAGTCACTCTCCGGATTATTACAGCTCCCAGAGAGAGGAGCCTGCTCCCTTCCAGCCGGACTCTCTTTACCACCACCATCAGCACCACCCGCACCAGAACCACCAGCAGCAGCAGCGAGCCGAGCCGCCATACACACAGTGCCAGCGTGGATCGCAGACCGCTTCGGTGGTGATGTCCCCACGAGGTCATGTCGTCGCCCCGACCGGACTGCAGACCACTCCACTCCCGGAGCAGAGCCACCGCTGTGATTCCGTGACACCGAGCCCGCCTCCACCTCCGTCTTGCGGTCAAACACCCCACAGCCAAAGCAGTTCTTCCCCAACAAGCACTCGTAAGGACCCCGTAGTGTACCCGTGGATGAAGAAAGTTCATGTAAACATCGGTAAGAGAAGCATACAAACTTGTTTCTCTCCCCCCCTTTCTTTTTCTTTGTGCCCGTGTATAGTCAGCTAGGTTTCCACCGTGAAAAGCTCCCCCTTTTTTCCTTAGGAGTAGTAGGAGAGTAGCCTTTGGGTCGAGATTTACGATCGTCTGTTTGCGGAGCCAATATAATTACACCCTCCATAAATTTTTATTACACCTCTCCGCTGAGGTGCCTTTTGAAGTCCGATCTCTCGCTCGTCGGCTCTAATTCGTCGCCTTATGACAACTCAGACCGAGCCCATAAGTTAGCTTTTATGCTGTGATAATTTGATTTTAAGTGGCCGGGTTGTATAAACGGTGTACTTTACTCTGTCTAGCCTTCCTTCCCCAGTCGTTGTTCCATGGGAGGGAAAGTTTTATAGCAGCTGAAATATTCATGTTTATGGATCCGGTCGTAAAACACTAATGCAAGACCGAATAGCTGCAGTCTATTATAGCTTATCTGTGATGCTCTAACATACTTGCTGCATACTGGGATAAGCGGAGTCACTTTTGCACCGTAATGCACTCACTCCGCTTCGCTGTATACTTGATAAGAAAGAAGAAGAAGAAAGCTTTGTTTCTTTCATTTTCATTCTCTCTCTCTGCTTTCTCTGTTTGCTGGCTGCGTAAAAACTGTATGTTGCAGTTTTTGAAATTTGTTGAATCATGACCTAATCTGTCAGTGACTGTCGTACATATTACCCACCCCTTCACCCCTACCGCAAACGTTGCTGTACCACCACCTTTTATTCCTAAACACCAGGTAATAGACGATGCTACAATCTCTCGCATAACATGCTGAAAGGGACGCTGCAATTGGCCCTGCTGCTTGCCATGATCCTGTATTGCAATGCCGGTCGTACGTTGCGCAGACGTGTCAGTACAGCGCCGCTTTTCAAGCTTACATCACAACATTTGGACATCAATTGCAAGCTGGCAGTATTGCCAGGATTCCCACCGCCGCAGGGCCCAGAATGACACCTGACAACACGTTTCAAAATATAATCTCCTCCTCAAAGGAGACACTGTAAAATAAACCAGCCAGGCTGTAAGCTCGGCGTCTGACAGGAAAGGATGAAAGGGGCTGCAGTCATGTCCCATTTTGTAGATCCAAACGCATTATTATTATTATTATTATTATTATTATTATTATTATTATTATTATTATTATTATTATTATTACTACTACTACTACTACTACTACATGTTAATGCTATAACGTTCATTGTTATTATTTCTCTACAGTAAGTTCAAACTACACTGGGGGTGAGCCGAAGCGCTCGCGAACGGCCTACACGCGCCAGCAGGTTCTAGAGCTCGAGAAGGAGTTCCACTACAACCGGTACTTGACGCGCAGGCGTAGGGTGGAGATTGCGCATACGCTGTGTCTGTCGGAACGGCAGATCAAAATCTGGTTCCAGAACCGGAGGATGAAATGGAAAAAGGACCACAAGATGCCCAACACCAAGGTCCGCTCTGGAGCAGGCAGCAACAATACAAACTCCCAGGCTCTAGCCGGATCCCAGAGCCGTTCTTCCGGACCACTATAGCCCATTCTTTGGCTGTTTGTCTGATGCAGGCAATTTGTCCTTCCCCCTTTGCTCCCTGAATCCCATACTGAAAAGACGGGCCTGACACGCTTGCAACCACCGGAACCTGTACTTTGGGCCGGAATGTTTTTGGTATGGGGGGAGAGAGAGATGTCATAGCCGCCGTTCTGGCCCTGATCTGCGCTGATGTTTCTCACAATAATATGACCTTATGATGTAAAAAGGGTTGGCAAGGGAGATTTCCTTTATATATGAAAATGATCAAAACTACCCGAAGAAGATGAAAGAACTAAGAGAACGTTGCTTTCGCCCGCTTTCCTTCTTTGCCTTCCTCTCTGTACTCGTCCTTTTATAATCCTCTCTCTCCCCCTCTCTCTCTATTATCCATCTCTCTCTCTCTATTTCTAACTCTTTCTCTCTCCTTCCCTCTGACAGAGCAAGGGGTGGTAGGCTGAAGATACTGTTCCCAGCGCGTGTGTGGTTCTTTTCCTGTTCCTTTACTATTCAAGACTTCTTTTAATTGAAAGATGCATCCTCGTTTTCATCTTTAATCATGCCAAATTCTGCCCCCGTTTGTAATCTTTACTTTGTGGGTATATAGCAAAAGGGTGAACTGCTCTTCCCAATACACCACTCCCTACGACATCCGTACTACTACTACTACTACACACACACATCATCACCACCACCCTCACCCCCATTGTTACACTTAAGGCGCACGTGTAATATATTGAACTCTCCTTTGGTCAAGTGAAGCATTCTTGCACTCCATACACACTCATAGAAAAGCCACACATGCTCGCTTACCTCTATGTGTCCTTATAGTACTTTAACATAAGATATAAACCACGATATGATCCAAAGTAACACCAGGCAGTTTGCCGTCTTGCTGTTTAAACTTCTGGTGCGTTTGTTTTGTTAAACGGCGAACTATAGTTTTTCATTTTTAGTTCTAGTTCTTTTTGAATTTAGTGTTGAATGTAAAATGTTGTTGATGCTGAGAGTGACGATTAGCGTTTTGTGATCAGTTGATTGTTCGTAATATGATGTTGTATACAAGCAAACAGTGTAACAGGGTTATTAAAGTGAAATTAAGTAATTTCCATCAACTTACAAAAGACACTAATGATCACACCAAAATCCCGGTACAGATACTTTAATGATGACAGAAACACAGCACTATACGATGTACTACCTATTACCTCAGTTCTGTGTGTGTGTGTGTGTGTGTGAGTGTGCTCGCGCGTGCGTTTGTGTCTCTATCTATACGCGCTGGATCGGACGATATTGATAAGTTTATTTTTTTATGTAATTTTTTTCGCTCGTTTAATGAAGTGAAAGCTTTCTGAGCTCCTATATTTTTAAAATTGTGTGAAAAGTTTTTATTATTATTATTATTATTATTATTATTATTATTATTATTATTATTATTACCTGCCATACAAAAAATCTTGTGGACATTTAAAAAGACAATTCCACAACTGCAGCAAAGAGACATTCATACAAAGTATCCTCTGCATGAAAAGTGATTTATTTCTTTTTAGATCCCCCTTTGTTCTTTCTCCGCGCATTAAATGCGCGCGCACTTCATTTTCTTTTTGTCCCTTCCTCGTTTATTCTTTCACTTTGTGTCTCTTTTTAGATATTTTATTCTAAAAGTGTTATTTCTTTCCACTGATGCCATTTTCTTAACATTCCAAAGATCCCTTTCGATCGTTATTGATGAAATGGTGCTGGTGAACATGTGTATGTTGCTCCGTCCTCTTATTTGTAAATAGTCCATAGACATTTAAATAAATGACTGAAAACGTACCCTTTCTATCTTATTATTATTACTTGTTATTTTTCTATTTTCTATATATAAAATGGGTTTTCTAGGAATAACAGTTTGGAGTCCTGTTGAATTTTACTGTTTCTGCTCACCTCCCCAGATTTGAGTAGTAGAAGAAATGCTTCCATACACAACAGTTTCATACAATTTCACATTTGGTTTTTCCTGCAAAGGCAAAGCAACCTGTCTTTCGAAATCAAGATCCTGCTATGATTAATCTGTCCCGGCCGTGAGTGATCTTGGTACATTACATCCTGTAATCTCGTTTTAAATCACAAACCGTCCCTCCGTTTCGCGGCCGTCCTCCGGTTAATTTAACGGCTGCTCAGATGCGCTTGCACCGGACCGGCACACCATAGGTGACAGCTCCCCCCCTTCTTCCTTTCTGTGTGTAGTTCTGAAGAACAAAATTAAATAGTTTCTCGGTTCGTGGTCTCTTAATGTGCTAATGAGTCTAATTTTTGCACCACACTGTTTTTTTTTCTCTCTGCTCCTTTCGTTGTTTTCTGGACTGCTGAGCGCGCGCGCGCACATACACACACACATACACACACACACACACACTATATATATATATATATATATATATATTACAAAAAGGGAACGGGCCCGCGCCATAGCTCAAACCCTGACAACCAAATAGATAATCAACAAGACGAATGGCTTCTTTTGTAAGGCGCGGCTCCCGTATTAATTTTCATTTTCTTTTGTTAGAACAGGTATCGAAAAATATAGAGAAAAGGGAGGGGGGCACGAGAAAATAGCATTCTTCTCGATGAACTTTAAACAAAAAAAGTGTGCCCCCCAAATTGGTTCTCTCGTATTCCTCGGCCCAGAGAAGATTCCCTATTACTTGTTGGTTGATTTCTCCCTGGGCTTCTTGCCACACAGACTCACGTTGCCCATTTATCTGTTTTCTTCCCATTTATGAGAGGTTTCTCCAGCGCAAAAAGCCACCTCCAATTAAACTGTACCCCTAGATGTGCTCGGGCACCCACTCGCGTAGTCAAAACAGTAAAATCGTACATTTCACTGTGTCATTAGTGAAACATTTAATCTCGTCTTTTGTTTTTCTATATTAAACAACGTGATTTAATCCAAATATATTAGGCCTGCATCTCCAGTTGTTAAAAGTAAGCAGGCATTTTCTTCCTATATTGTGAGAACAATAGTGGTTTAATATCGCCTTCTTCACCCTGAGGCTGTATACCTCTCCTTATAATATGATATTTGTGTCCAAATGTGGTAATATCTGCTACACATCAGTTGTCCCATATTGGAAATCTCAACACATTCGCACATGTATACACACACACACACAATGACGACCTAAAGCCCCAGGGCACTGAGCATTCTCAGTTAAAATAAATGATTTGCGTGCAGGCTGACAATTTTGCATAATAAAATCCACCAAAAAAATCCTTATTATTATTACTATTTATTTATTTATTTATTTATTTATTTATTTATTTATCTTCCTTTATCACCCGGGACATTCTGCTGCTTCTGTGAAAGCAAGCAGATTTTTGTGAGGATGCCCGACCCCCACCGCACACATATCAAATCTCTGTGGAAAAAAAACATGCTCACCGCCATTATTTTCTGGACAGGACAGAGGGGACGGCCCCTTAAGAAAAATGCGAAAATTATACAAGAAACAATCATTAATCACTTGTTCTTCTTTAAACACTTCTTTTGCTTTTCTTCTTCTCTATTGTCATCCGGCAGCCACACACAAGACCCCTTCTGGAGGTGGTGGTGGTTGGGGGGGTTGCCAGAGAAACAGAAGAGAAAAAAGGAGACGTCTTGGAAGACACTACGAAGACCCCCCCC